CAGTAAAGGATTCTTGTGTCTTACTGTGCTCTTCTCAAGCCCAACTAGTATCCTTATGATAATTGTTTTAAATTCTGGTTCAGACAGATACTTGTATCTTTATTGATTAAATCCCTAGCTGTGACTTCTTCTTTTCTTTCTTTTGGGGTTAATTCCTCCTCCTTGTCATTTTGTCTGTGTTACTTTTTGCATTTGATTGTTAGGAATGACTGTTGTACTCCTCCAAGTAATGACTATATTAAGAAGAGGTTCCCCATGCCCCACCCCCAGAAAAGGAAGCTAGGTTCTAGGTCTGCTTTGCTCTGCTTTTTAAAAGAAGCTAGATCCGGGGGTGAGGGGGGAGAAGGAAGATAGATCCTATTTCCCCTAGAGCTGAAGCTTTCCAGTATTGTGTGATCAGTAGCCTTGCTGTGTGCAAGGGGTTTGTGCCAGGGAGTTTTATTTCGGTGAGTTGGCTGATACAGTTGTGGGAGCTGGCAAATTTGAAATTTGTGTAGGACAGCAAGCTAGAAATTTTTTATTTCAGTGAGTTGGCTGATACAATTGTGGGAGCTGGCAAATTTGAAATCTGTGTAGGACAGCAAGCTAGAAAGAGGTTAGAGTTGTACAGCCCTGAGACAGAATTTGCTTCTCAAAGAAACCTTAGTTTTTTCTTCTTAACGTGTTGAACTGACTACATGGAACCCACCACCTTATTGAGGGTTTCTCCTTTACTTAAAACTTGTATGTTAACAGTTTAATACAGCTGATGTAGCTGTTAATTATATTTGTGAAATACCTTCACAGTAACACCTGGATTAGTATTTGAGTAAATAATTAGATACTGTAGCCTAGCCAGGTTGATACATAAGACTTGACCATTACATCCTCCCTTGTTTCCTCATGCCCTTCTTCCTACATTCCCAGTACTCTTGTTGTCTTTACAGCAAATCTCAATTATTTTTGTTCACTGTCTTGCTGTCTTAATGCTCTTAAAACACACTTCAGTCAGATTTCTATTTCTGCCACTCCACTATTTCTGCTCTTGTTAGTCAGCAATTACCTCTTTATTGTCCAAATCACTGGGAATCTCCCAGGTATCATCATTCTCTATTAGTAGACATAGCTACTTCTTCCTTCTTGAGTCACTTGTCTTCACTTGTTCTGTGGAGTACGCACTGTCATAGTAGATCTTAGAAAGCTAAACTGAATGATCTCAGAACTCAGTCTTAAGATCTTTTTATCTTTTTTTTTTTTTTTTGGTCTTTATTCACTTCTTAGTGAATAAAGTGAAAACCAATTCCATGATTTTATTATTTTTATCAAAAAATAATGACATGGGAGAGGCAATATAGTCACATGATTTAAAATTCAAAATAGAAAAAATGTAGGTAAATTGTCATTTTTTTACCCATGACTCTGAGCCAAAAAATTCTCTTCCTTGAAGGCAACCAAAGTTGCCAGTCTCATAATTTTTTCCCAAAGATTTTGAATATAATAACACATACATATTCATTGAGAGGCAGTATGATATAGTGCTTAAGAACTTGGACTGTAGAGCATAACTCCCTGTAATCCAATTCTGTCTCTTCCAGTTGCTTGCTGTGTAACTGGCAAGTCTCTTAGATGATCTTGGTCTCCATTTTCTCCTGTGTACAAAAGGAATAATTATAATATCCTTACTTGATTGAGTTGTGAAGTATAAATGAGTAAGTATGTGTAAAGAGCTTAGAAGAGTGACTGGCACATAAAAATAAATAACATTCCATTTTTCATAAATGATAGCATTATATACAGGCTTCTTGCCTTTTTTTATTCATCAACAGATATCTTGGTAGGCTTTTCTTTTCAGCACATAAATCATGCCTCATTTTTCTTAAATTTTTTAAGTGTTTATTTAGATAAAGCAAAAGCAGGGAAAGGGCAAAGGGAGAGGGAGACACAGAATCTGAAGCAGGCTCCAGGCTCTGAGCTGTCAGCACAGAGCTAGACATGGGGCTCGAACCCATGAACCTCGAGATCATGACCTGAGCCAAAGTTGGGCACTCAATCAACTGTGCCACCCCGGCGCCCCCTCATGCCTCGTTTTTCTAATGGCTGAATAGTTACTCATTGGATGGATATGTTGTTTTATTTTATGGCTCTAAGTAACCGTGTCTTTGATGATGACTTTAAATACATATCTACTGGGTATTTCCACTTAGATACCTAAGAAGCACAAAGCTTTCTTATTATCCTTGCCTTTTCTTTTGATCTTATTTTCCTACATTATAATCTATAATATTTTTAGGTAAATCTTCGGAATCTCTCTACCTATTGATAACACTTTACTTCAAGCCAGCATTGTTGTACTGAGCTACTGAAAGCTAACAGCTTGAGAGTCATTATTCTAAACTGTCATGAGGACAGATACTCTATCCCATTCACTTTTATACTTCTAGTATTTAGTAGAATATTACTTAAGTACATATTGGGTTGATAGGTGAATGAGGAAAGCATTGAGTAAGTTTTTATTCAACTCTGTGGTATAAGGCTATTTCTTTTTTCAGTGTAACATTTAACTTTATTAAAACCAAATTGTTTCCCAATGCTGTTTTTTTAATTACCAGTCTGTCACAAACTAATACTTTGGTAAAATGTAAGCAAATGACATATATATTTCTTAGTGTCATATTGTTATTGGAACCAGTAGATATAAGATCACTGTCAGATTGTTTAAAAAATTTCTCAAAACTTACATTTAGATTGTACTGATAATCTACTGTTAATAAACCATTTGTGGTTAGCACCAATTTGCAGACGATACTGTAAGTAGTGCAGCACTAAAACAAGTTTGCCATCTTATAGCCTGCAGTTAAAATTTGAAGGCTAAATGAAGTATTCTTCTCTTTGGTAAACAAGGAGAAACTACTTCAAAGCCAGTGTCACAGAACCAGGCTGAATTCCTGTAGGATTATTAATTTATAAAATAATTCCTTTAGTAATACCAATGAAATTTAATTAATGCTTCCTCTATGTGGGAATGAGTGTTTTTCACTGGACTCAGTCAGATGATACAATCCCCCTGTTATGTCTGTGTCATTAAATTAGCAGTCTTTACTAGCCATTTATTTTCTAATTGTTGGTATGTGAAATGAAAATTTCAGTGGAACTTTAAGTTTTACAGATCAATAAGCATTTTAGCTCAGTAAATACTGTTATATCCTGTCTTTTTGTAAAAAATGTATTGATCATTTTGCATTATGTTTGTACATCTAGGATGGGAAGAGGGTCATTACATGGTGACTGTTGGCATGTGGGATCTGGGTTCACAAGGAGATACATAACTAAAAGCAAATCATTAAATTGAAGAAAATTTGTGTCTCAGCTTCCACTAGTGAATTTCAGCCAGCGTTGATGTTAATTTTAAACCTTAACAACCCCTTGATGTACACGTCATTTTGTTTTGGGGATCTGGAGGTATATACTGAATTAAAGTTCCATTGGGTATGATTTTGTATGCTCAGGACAAACTGTATTACACTGTTACCCATGACTTGGGCAGTGTGAATGCCCCAGATCCCTCCTGTCTTTGAGCACTTCTCCTTTTTTATACAGATTAATTTAAAAAGTGCTTTTAGGGGTGCCTGGGTGGATTACTCGGTTAAGCATCCAGCTTCGGCTCAGGTCATGATCTTGCAGCCCCACATCAGGCTCTGTGCTGATAGCTCGGAGCCTGGAACCTGCTTTGGATTCTATGTCTCCCTCTCTCTCTGCCCCTCCATTTGCGCGCATGAGCACGCACTCACACTCTTTCTCATAAATAAATAAACTTAAAATAAAAAGTACTTTTTAACTTTCACAGTATCACTGATGATACCCTGACAGTATGTAAAATATTATAAAATCACTAGCCTGTTTTTTTTTGAAACACAAGAATATTTCTCAATTTACTGTTTTGAGACACTGTATCTTAGGAAAGAAATATTTTTGTTGAATGTATTTCTAAGTAGTCACTAACTTAAATATATTTGTTTACATCTTGTCTTATATTTTAGCTTAAAGGCAGCAATCACTATTAACATGGAGTTGCCAAAATGCAGAGTTTCAGGTGTGTGTGTAGATAATAGATATGTTTAATTAAAGGGAAATAGTAAATTTTAAGAGAAATGCATGCTAATATATAGTTATGGATGTTTACAGATAGGTGGATCAATATTTAAAAATGTAGTTTTAAACTGAAGTTTTAAAACTTCATTCATACTTGCCGATGAATAAATAAAAATGAAGTTATTTTACCAGCACAAACTCTTATTCCTTTGCAAATATTTTTCTATACCATCACCATTTCAATAATGAAAATAAATATGAATAGAGAAAAGTTTAAGGTTTATGTTATACCTGATTTTCAGATCACTTGAAACAGAAGTTTGAAAATACTTAAAGATTTACAAATCCAAGTGAGCATTTAAAAGTACACTAACACTGTGAGGAAAATAGGCCAATCAGAAGTTCATGGGATACATTTTTAATTAAAGAGTTTGGTAGGATTTTATTTCAGGGTTTGGAAGCTATGGTATTCACTGAGAGAACAAACCATCTTTTGGGTAAAGGTCATAAGCTGATTGTAAATATCTAAGCCATCTTTGAAGTATCTAAGTAAAGAAGCAATTAATTAAAGAAGCAATTGTATATACAGAACTCATGGACAGAAGAAAAACCTAATATGCATATGTGAGGGGGGGGAAGAGGGGGTGTTACATCCTTCCTGCTTATAATTAGGATGAGGCTGATTTTAAGGGGGAAATGTTGTGAACTAAGCTATAGGGACACCGAGGCACAGAAAATTATGTTGCAGCCTAAGAACATGACTTTACTTCTATAAAATTAAGTTTTCTTTTTTTAATTTGTTATACCGGAGTTGTAAAACACTGAAACTGACTAGCTTCCTTCCTTCATCCCCATTTCCATTATAAATTTGTAATCTTACAGATGAAGATCTGATTGATAGGTGAAAACCGTAATCTTCCTTTATTTCATAGCCATGAAGCTCATGACTGCGTTGGTGAATGTTGCCTTAAACCTCAGTATTCATCAGGATAATACACAAAGACAATATGAAGCTGAGAGAAATAAAATGATTGGGAAGAGAGCCAATGAAAGGTTGGAATTACTTCTTCAGAAACGCAAAGAGGTAGGTTTCATATTATCTGTAAAAAGATGTGTGTGATTTTTAGTCTGTGTTTCGTTTTTTTTTTGATAGGGCTACATGTGGCTGTGTGTGTATTTTAAAATTTATTTAAGTTAGATTATGTGATTTCAAACTTCAAATTAAACTGGAATGTTCAGCCACTGATTATCTGAGTGCTGTCTGATGGCCGAAGATAATCTAAAACAATCCTACTTTTGAAAGAAGGTAGTATAGGGGTTAGGTAACGCAGAGAAAGATTATCAGTTTGTGAATTCAGAAAGCATTATAAACACTAAGGTCAGAGCGTAGGGCCAGCAAAGCTGCACTTCTAGAAGAAAGCCAAAGACTACTTCTTGGCTGATGAATAAGGCATTCCTGGGAATACATTTGGTCCCAGTTTTACACTGAAATTTTCATATATATATATCTTGAAATTGTTTTAAACGGGATTTGTAGTAGGTAACATTTTTATTTGCCCAATAGGAAATCAAAATTTAAATATACAGTATTTTAACTTGAAAACAGAATAATATCAAATAAGTTACCAATGAATAGTGAGTTATAACAGGCAACAGGAAACAACAAACTAATTTTAAATTATTACCCATGCTGTATCAGGGTGCTAGCTGGGGCTGCTATAACAGATACCAACAGACTAAGTGGCCTGAAGTTGAAGATAACTCCAAATTTTCCATGACTTCCGTGTATGTGTGCGTGTGTGTCTAAATTTCTGCTTTCTATAAAGAAACCAATAATAATGGATTTGTGGCCCACCTCACTCTAGAATGACCCTATCTTAACTAATTACATCGTCCACAATCCTGTTTACAAATAAGGTTTGAAGTACTTGGGCATTAGGACTTCAACATATGAATTTCTGAGGAACACAGTTTAAATCATAATACTTGAAATACTCTGAAAGTAAATTTGGAACTGTGCATCAGTAAGTACTATTAACCAAACTGTATGCCTCTTATAAATTAATTTTTATATAGAATAAATGCAGCGAAGTAAACCTGAAATAAAGCATATAGGAAATAAGTAAGTCTGAAGGAATTTTATTCTCACATTCTTGTATATAATAAAAGCAAATATTTCACTGAGTATTACTACACAACAGATTATAATAAGAAATATCACTTGGAATGTAATTTTGTATGAGTGCTTTTGTTCATGTTGAACAGTAAATAAGCTCAAACTTTAACTGTGATTAGTAGAATTGCCTGAATTTTATATCATTGCTAGACTGTTTTGTTGCTGATTTCCACCACTAATGGTAAGGATCCGCCCTATCTTCTATTATGTCCTCTATATTGGGAACTTGGCCTAGTCTCAGTTATGAGCTAAACAGATGTAGAGTAATATTGGGATACTTTAGGTCGAATAAGAAGTTTTTTTTTTACATTGGCAAATATCATAATCAAGGATGACCTGTTTCCAAAAGAGGCAAAAAAGCCAGGGGCCTGACTTTGTTGGAAGAGGTGTAGAAATTAAGGCTTCTTCTCAAAGCCCGTAATATTTTGGAGATTGGAGTCTAGCCACATTAGCCACACCACTTTTTGTTAGTTGTGTATGTATGTGTAAAGAGACACAAAGAGGTTCTAACGTCAGTGTAGTAGTAAAGCTTTTGAAGTAATGCAACAGCACTGGTAATTTCAGACATGTGATGCATAATAAGTGAGAAAAAGGATGGATAATTATCCAGAATGAGAATAACTGGGAATGAAAAATAACTGGAACTGTTTATTTAAAATAAAATGATCAGGATTTAATTTTTTTTTTTTTAATTTCAGCTACAGGAAAACCAGGATGAAATTGAAAATATGATGAACTCTATTTTTAAGGGTATATTTGTTCATAGATACCGGTAAGGATTTAAAAATCACTTAGATTTTTAATGTAAATAATGTAATGCTTCTTTGTAGTCCTAGGTAATTATCAAAATATGAAACTCTAATTATTTGTTTTATTTTTTGGAAAACAGTTTTGGCTCTAGAAGCTAAATAAATGTCATACTACTGTTGTGGAGGAAATTGGTTTTTGTTTTTAAGTTTGTTTATTTTGAGAGAGTGAGAGCATGAGTGGGGAAGGGGCAGAAAGAGAGAGAGAGAGAAAGAGAATCTGAAGCAGGCTCTGCACTGTCAGCTTGGAGCCTGTTGCAGGGCTCAAACCCATAAACCATGAGATCATGACCTGAGTCAAAACCAAGAGTCAGATGCTTCACCATCTGAGTCACCCAGACACCCTGTTGTGGAGTAAATTTTATCACTGCCACACCCTNGGATGGGCATGAAGGAGGGCACTTGTGGGGATGAGCACTGAGTGTTATGTAGAAACTAATTTGACAATAAACTATTTGTAAAAAAAAATAAAATAAAAAATAAAAAAATAAAAAAAAATTAAAAAAAAATAAAAATACATCTTTGAAGGTGGGAGAAAAGTTGACAAAAAAGGGCACCTCTGTAAAAAGTCAACAACTCTTCTTTACCTCATCTATACACATAAAAATAGAAGCAAAGTATTTTTGTTATGCTTCATTGCAAACCAGTTTTGTCTTTCTGTGAACTTTTAAATTACTGACTATATTATTAAACAGTGTATTTCACAGAGAATTAAGGAATCGTATACATTAATTTGTTGCCTTCTTTTAATTAGGCATGATGTGGTATGTTTAGGTAGATAGACACAGAAGCATAGTTTTTAGACACATTTGAGACTTTTAATTAGCCAGTTAATTTAAAAAGTTAGTTAAAGCAGGGAAATCCATTTTTTTTTAATGTAGCTTTGATATTTTTACTTAAACATTTTGTTATAATCCAAAGTATAAAAAGAACTTTTGATCTTATGGTATTTTTTTAAATATTTATTTATTTATTTTGATAGAGAGAGCACATATGAGTGAGAGAGGGGCAGAAAGAGGGAAAGACAGAATCCCAAACAGGCTCCACGTGCAGCATGGAGCCTGATGTGGGGGCTTGATCCCACAAACCATGAGATCATGACCTGAGTCAAAACCAAGAGTCAGATGCTTCACCATCTGAGTCACCCAGACACCCTGTTGTGGAGTAAATTTTATCACTGCCACACCCTTAAGTTCAGTTTGTATACCGTTAGAAGCATTCAGTGTATTTGGATTTGATGGAATATTAATTAACAAGATATCATTAAGTTAATGTGGCCTTAATAAGATGTGATTGTCTTGATATTGGAAAAAATTCAATGCCCTGCTTCCTGCCATGTGATACTTATCTTGTTTCACAGTCAATTTAACCAGCAGTGTTTTAAAAATACATCTTTGTGGCTAAAATGAGCAAATCAGAGAACTCTAGATGCTGGCGAGGATGTGGAGAAACGGGCACCCTCCTACACTGTTGGTGGGAATGTAAACTGGNTAAGCTAAAAATCCAGGGTCAGTCAGTAAACTGACTGAGCCACCCACACATCCCCTCTTTTAAAAATCTTCTTGATATTTATAGAAAAAAAAAATACTAGCTTGAAAAGATATATGCACTCCTGTGTTCATTGCAGCATTATTTATAATAACCAAGATACGAAAACAACCTATAGATGGATGAATAAAATAATGAAATCTTGCAATTTGCAACAACATGGATGGACCTCAAGAACATTATGCTAAGTGTAATAAGTCAAGCAGAGAAGGAGAAATACTGCGGTTTATATGTGGAATCTAAAAACAATAACAACAACAACAAACTCATAGATACAGAAAACAGATTGGTGGTTGCCAGCGGCAGGATAGGTGGGGAAAATGGGTGAAGGAGGTCAAAAAGCAAAAAGGATTAAAACAAACAAACAAAAAAAAGATGTACTGCTAAACAGTACCAGAAGAAAGCTTACTGTTATCTAGTAACTTGTGACTATCTGCTATATATTAAGAAATTTAGGCAAGTTTAATAAATTTGCACCTAACTTCCTGAATGGGTAATAAAACTTTTAGAAGAAACCTGGAAGATAAAAAAAGTACTGGGAAGGGATGCCTGGGTCACTCAGCCACTTAAGCATCTGACTTGATTTTGGTTCATCTCATGGTTCATGAGATTGAGCCCTGTGTCAGGCTCTGTGCAAAGCCTGCTTGGGATTCTCTCTCCTCTCTCTCTCTGCCCCTTCTCTGCTCATGCTCTCTCAAAATAAATAAACATCTTTTTTTTTAAAAACACACTGGGAAAATGTGTTTAATAGCTGATTAAAAAGAGATACTAAGAAAGACTGTATATCCTGATAGGGACACATATCCTGAAGTTGGAGATGTTTAGGATTTGGAGAACTAGATCAATCAATTAAAAAAAAAGAAAAAAGCCACCTGTCTAAAGAAACTTAAAAATAAGAAAACAAAATTGTTTATATTTACACACAAATTTACCATTTCCAGCTCTCCTCATTCCTGAGTTTCTCTTTGTTATCACTTTGCTTCAGCTTGTTTTACTTTTTATATGAAAAACTCTATTTTACCTAAAAAAAAAAAAAGGGCCAAGGGCTTTACTTTGAGTATGGAGTATTTGTAGTTTCATACTCTCTTTTTATTCATAAACTGCACATATGATGAATTACTGAAAAGTTAATTTTTTTTAAAGCAAGAATTTCCAGGGGCACCTGAATAGTTCAGTCAGTTAAGTGTCCAACTTTGGTTCAGGTCATGGTCTCACAGTTCACGGGTTCAGGCCCCATATTGGGCTCTGTCTGTGCTGACAGCTCAAAGCTTGGAGCCTGCTTCAGATTCTGTCTCCCTCTCTCTCTCTCTGCCCGTCTTCTACACATACTCTGTCACTGTCTCTCTTTCTCAAAAATAAATACAGAATTTAAAAAGAAGCAGCATGAATTTCCATATATTTGCCATGCAGTCTTTTTTTAAATTATAACTTTATAGAGGTATAATTAATGTAAAAAAATTACATGTTATTTAATTTTTATAAGACATATGTATTTTGTCATTTGGAACTTTTAGTCATACTTCCCAACCACTGGGGAGTGGTGGGGGCCTGGAGGTTGAATCAGTTGATGGCAGTGACTTAGTCAGTCATGAATGTTCAGTGAAACCTTCATACAAATCAAAAAGGACTGGTTCAGAGAGCTTGGTGAACCCAAGGAAAGTAACATACCTAGAGAGGGCATGAAAGCTCTGTGACCTTCCCCCTTCCTTGCTCTGTATATCTCTTCATCTGGCTATTGATTCACATCTTTTATCATATCCTTTAATTAATTGGTTAACATGAGTAATTGTTCCCCTGAGTTTTATGAGCCACTCTTGCATATTAAAAGAATGTAAGGAGGATGTGGTTGGAACCTCTACTCTGTAGCCCATGAGTCACAAGCTCAGGTAATTAAAAGCTTGGGACTTATGATTGGCATTTAAAGTGGGGGATAGAAAGCAGTCTTGAGGGACTGAGCTCTTAACCTATAAGAGTCTGATGCTGTGTCCTAGTAGATAGTGTCAGAACTGAGTTGTATTTTCAGAAACCAGTAGGTGTTGTTGGTGTGAGTTCATGCAGGCAAAAACCTGTGCCCCATGTTCACATTGGGTCCAGCAACCCAAAAAGAGTTTGTGTCAGATACAGTTGAGTGCCTAAGTTGATGAGTTTTGACATACGTACACCTGTAGAACTACCACAACCAAGATAATGAATGTATCCATCATCCTCAAAAGTTTTCTCTTCCCACTTTGTAATTCCTCCCTGTCTTCCTTTCTTCCAGTCTCCCCCTCCGCCCCAGAATCAAGTCAGTTATCAATTTGCTGTTTACAATTTTTAGGATTTCATAGGAATGGAATTAAACAGTATGTGCTCCTGATTTTTGTTGTTGTTTTCATCTGACTTTTTTCACTAAGCCTAATTAGTTTTTATAAATTTTAGTAAGTTTTTCATAGATGCCTTTTTATCAGGTTGAGGACATTTCCATTCTATTCCTAGTTTTCTGAGACTTTTTTATTAGAAATGGATCTTGGATTTTGTGAAATACTTTTCTAACATCTGTGGAGATTGGTATATACAGTTTTTCTTTTTTAAGACTGTTAATGTGAATTAAATTGATTTAAAAATGTTAGCCTTAAATTCTTTGCTAAAACCCACATAGTCTTGATAACTAAATAAATTCAGATAACTGCTAAAAATTTCCTAAGAATTGTACTTCTGTATTCAAGACAGATCTATATAGATTTTTTTAATGTTTTTTTTTTTTATTTTTTTTATTTGAGAGAGAGAAGAGAGTACATGCATCAGCGAGGGAAAGGGGCGTGGGGCAGAAGGAGAGAGAATACCAAGCAGGTGCCACACTCAACAGGGAGCCTTGACACAGGGCTTGATCCCACGGCCCTGGGATCATGACCTGAGCCAAAATCTAGTCAGACACTCAACCAACTGAACCACCTAGGCTCCCCAAGAGAGATGTGTATCTCTTAGCTTTTGATTTTGTTGAATGTCTCAGTCTGCTTTTGGTACCATGGTAATGCTGGCTTTGTTGAATGAGTTGCATTGTATTATCTTCTTTTTAATTATCTGGAAGAGTATTGTTACTATATTTTTTTCACATAGGCATTATACCATTGAGACTCAATGTTTTCTTTGTAGGGATATTTTTAATCACAAATTAAATTTCTTTAATAGATCTGTCTTTTCAGTTTATATCTTAACAAGAAAATGATACATTGATCTGTGTTGTTGAATTCTATTCAACAAGATCAGCAAAAAGTTATTTATAAAATATTGTTGGTTTCATATCTGTCTCTTGTATCAATTGTATTTATTTTTCTTAAAAAATGAGATTTTAATTACATTGAACTTCTATATTATTTTTCTATTTTCTATCACATTGATTTCTGCACTTTTATTTATTTCCTTTTCTCTGCTTGCTTTG